TTTCTCTAATTGGCTATTTGCTAGGTGAAATCGGAATTGTATGTAACATACGTTTAACTACGGTGGTAATGGTCGGCGACATAAAACATGATTCATACGGAAGAGCTGGAGAGAGTTGCGAAAGACAGTGTCGGACTGGCTGTGTTTAGGGCCACTGAAGGGTATCCCTTTTTAAGATAAAGAAAAGAATATCAAAAACAACATATTTTATTGTATTTTAACACAAACCACATGAACGGAAACTTGATTATATTCGAAAATTATATAAAATATACAGGGTGTTTCAGGATTAAGTCGACAAACTTTAAGGAGATATTCCTCATAAAAAAATACGGAAAAAATCAAGTAAAAATTTTTTCCAGAGACGCTTCATTTTCGAAATTAGAGCGTTAAAGATTTTTTTAAAAAATTCGAATTTTTTAAATAACTTCTAAATGAAGAAGGCAATTTAAGCCAAATTTGGCATGACACATCTTCTTATGAGATACCATTTTTCCATAGAAGTAGAAGTACCGCAAGCAACCAGTGGCGGAGTTATGGGGACTCACTCATTCAATTATAAAAAAAATTAATATGGCCCTACCGAAAATAAAAAATAATGCTGTTTTTAGAACTGTTCTAATTAAAGGGCTTAAAGAGTAAGTATAGTACTTTAAGACCCCATTAATGTATTTAGCAAAAAAACTTGCCTTTCCATATAATATAAACTCAAATATGTAAAAAAATCGTGATTTTGGTACATTTAGATTAGGATATCTCGAAAACCAGAGTCAATTGAGTAATCTACCAAATTAGAGGCCAGCCAGAACAAATTATTTAACAAAAGTTTTATATTTTGGAAGATCTCAAATCTCAAATTAATCGAGCTTATAATATTAACAAAATATTATATGTATTTAAACTGATAAAAATTCATCAAATATTTTATAACTATAAAATAGAAAGAAACAAAATGTCAATCCGCTATAATTCAAAATACAGTATTTTAACGAGCTTTAACCAAATTTCGACATAAAAATAAACTAAAAAAGTGTTTAGAAAGGAATATTATTTTTTAAATTCACTTGAAAGAAGATATTCAGAGTCTTCATCTGACTGTCAGTCATCTGAGTACATATCTGGTGCTTCTAAATCTTCTGATTCCAATACAACATGCTTTTGGTCATCCTGAACAATTCAAAATATGTATTTGCCTCTAAAAGCGGAAATGATTTGATGATTTGTTTATTAAAATAATTTCTAAAGGTTATTTTAATTAAATAAATATACGATAACATTTATATTGACAAGCAACGGATTAGAACTTTTTATATCCTGGATTGTATAAACGTTCAATTTTTCCTAATTTTTCATATTTTTCTAATATTTCTCGACACAATTTTTCCGGAAATTTTAGACCACCCCTTCCCTCGCGATGGGGCTTCGCCAGTCCGACTATGATGAAAATATTTGTTTAGAAAAAGGTTTTAATCAAGATTTGTTTAAAGTTTTGAAAGTTTGAGTTTGAAATGAAGAAGGTGTATATAAATAAGTGCAAAAAAAATGAAGGTGATACCTCGTTGAAAATTAAAAGGGTTCTTTCATGTAAAAAAAACTCCGCCCCCTCCCTGCGGATGTTTATTTTTTCCTTAAATTTCGAAAAAGTTATAAAATAAAACTGGATTTGACACTTATTTATTTGCATCCAGTATAATCAACAAATGATGTTAAGCGGATTCAAATCTGGAAAACTAATCGGAGGACATTTAATTCTGAATTTACAACGTTGCATTAATTTTAACACCGTCCAAAAATTTGCATTTTATTCTACTAAGTATCGCTGAATTTAAACCTCGAAGTGAAATTCGGTTTTAAGCGAACTTTCGAAATAGTAGGCTCATTTAGGAAGCGACCTAAGGGTTCGCATTTTCACAGCCTAAAGGCTACGGTGACGTTATGAAGCGCAAATGTTACTTTCACGCAGCAGCCAACATGATTTATCTGGACGAAATTTGAATTTTATTAATATAAATCATGTTATTTTGATTCTTAATATGTAAGGTATATGCTAGAATGCTAATTGTTAGACTAAGAGCACTATAATTAATTAAAAATTAATAACGTTATATAAACCGACAGGGATTATAACGTTTTAATCAATTTTTTTTAGCGTGGTTACTACTTTTACCAATGGAATTTTTGAAACACGCGTTCCAGTTAAATTTTAAGAAATCAAGATTAAAAAGTAAAAATAACAAAAACGTTGACAAATAATATCATATAAAATATTGGGTCATAACGTAGATCTAAATCAAACTTTTTTGGCATATCTGACGTATAGTCGTGGACAATTAAAAGTGTACTTATAAAGAGACAACAAATATGGAAGCAGCAATACCTCATTTTATAAAGTAGATAGGTACGCTGTTTTGATGGAAAGTACAGGGTAATCCATAATTATCCTTTTTTAACATTTATTTCTTTGATATTCAATTGGGACAAAATCTAAATACATACTTATATAAAAAGTACAAAAACCCCTTGTATTCTTTTCAGCAAATGTACGACTATCACCGAAATGTTTTTATTATATGTATTATCATTTTATTTTGCGGTAGTGTTGCCTCAAAAAATCACGTTTGCTGCTCTATTTTCCTAGATTGATGTTCAATTGTTTTCGTAATTGCATATTCTGCTTCTGTAGCAGTTTTTATGTACCTATGTTACATTTAACCCATTTAAATGTCTTAATATCAAAGGAAATAAATTGCGAAAAACGAGTGGAAAAATGGATAACCTTGTGTGACAAAATGTAAACTTTAGCAGCATACAACAATGCAGAATCTATTTTTTTACTGTATTTTAAAGCTGATTCAAACAAATTCAAAAATTTTCCAAAATATTTAAATATAACGCCTTTAAAATAGAGTAAAAAATACCAAACCTAATAATATATAGTGTGTACCATTTTGGTGATGTACCTATGTATTGGTATCTTGGAAACCATAAGAGATAGGATTAAGTGGTGGAAGTTTTAGACAGTTCTGAACTTAATGGTGCTTGCAGACCGATCCTAGTTCTTCAGGTTTTTGAGTTATTTTGTTAAATAGTAAATGTTGCGTTTTAGAAAATCGTCTGTAACTTTTTTATTTAGAGAAATTTTTAAAATCTGAGGACACTTCTTTACAGCAACTTTTTTCTAGCAATTTCACTTTATATTCAGATATTCATTGCGACGTTTCTGTTGCGAGAAATCATCATCAACTTTCTGTTTTCTTATGGTGCCTATATTGAGTTTTATGCTGAGCAAATAGAGCACTTTTTTGGCTTTTCAATGATATAATATTAGTAAGAAACAATTTCAAAAACAACCTCAAAAATTAATATTTTAAATAAATCTGGCAACACCGCATAATTTTTCGAAACTATTATAGAATAGTCCCAAATTTTTGTAAAAGCTTATTAATGTCATGGCGAAGTCGATGATGGTTTGTCGCAACCGAAACGTCTCGATGAAAATCTAAATACAGTGATATTCCTCGGAAAAAGTATTCAGATTTTAAAAATTCCTTTAAAAAAGTTACAGACTATTTTCGAAAATGCCACATTTACTTTTTTTCAAAATAACTCAAAAACCTGAAGAGCTAGCACCGGTCTGCAAACGCCATTAAGTTAGCAATAGAACTTTCTCCGTTTAACCATTTTCCTATCTCTTATAGTTTCCAAGATGCATCACCAAAATAATCCACACTGTATGTTTTTTTTTTAATGCAGAATCTGCTTATGTGATATTTCGAGCCAACTGCTTAAATATAGTCATTAATTCCACTAACCACTTTGTCTCCGCTTTAAGTTTAAAAAATGTCACATAAATGTCAATTATACTCGAGCGGTCTATGAAAAACTGCTTTTATATACATACTCGTAGATAATCGAGAGGTAAATATTTGGTTGTGTAATATGTTGTTTTTGAATCAGTAATCGAGTTTATTGTTTTCTTTATCCATCATTTTTGACCTTTACGGGCCATAATTATTAACAAATTTTTACGGTAGGTATGCAAAGTAATTTTTTTTTAATTCAGCTCATTTTGAAGCGGGACAAGGTTGAGTTAGTTATCATAATGTGTTGTTTAGTATTACCCAAATCTTGGTTGTTTGTAAAATAAAGATTTCCTTTCGAATTGTAGTTCCTGTAGACGCTCTAAGCACGATATATTTTATTGTCCACGACTGTACGCAGGCAATTATAAAAAATCGAAAAATTAATATTTTTTATTTGTAAGTTTGTTTTTAATTTATTGGTATGTCTATTATGTTTATACGAAATCGAGTCCGTTTTGTTTATATTCTGGAAAGTTTATTTTTTTTAAGATAAATCTCCATCAGCAAACCCGTTCGCCCGCCGGTCAAAGAATCTCGAAAGTGAGAAAGTGAGGACTATTCTAGATATCTTGTTTCTTTTGAGTCAATAGTTCAAAAAGCCCGTTCAAATTTATTGCCAAGAACAAGTTGCTTTTCCCTTTGCCAGCATAAATTTCAACTCAAATGAGTTTCTCTTTTTTATAAGATAACATTTTAACATTTTATTTGTACAGGTATTTGTGTACGGTCGTAAACATACCTACCTACACTCAGAGAAAAATCTAGTCATAATACAATCGGAGAAAATAACGTCCAATATGAATGAAATACATAGAAATTATTGTTACTCTTAACAAATTTTGTTTTGTAGGACCGTTTTGACATTCTCTTCAACTAAAAGTGATTCGATGCAACTTTATAAATTTTTGATCTCCCTTAGTCTTATTGTAGACCTTATACTTCATAAATTGAACACCCCGTACATAAGTATGACTCCCGTTCACGTTATTTACCACTTCTAAAACGAGAATTCATTTTTTTTACGTTTTTTTTTTTAATTTTTCCGCACACATCACTGGAGACCCCGAGGGTTGTACAGGCGACGAACCCAGAATATTTCCACTACCTTCGAAGGTTAAATTTTTCAGTCAAACTCACCGTACTTAATCCACGGGTCGAACTATAAAAAGTATTACAACACACCCACTCATCCAACAACACACTGTATGGGCTCTTACCTTGTGTTCACCGTAACCGAACACGAAATCTCCTAGGTGAGAGTGAGAGTCCTCATTTATATGGAAAGAAGTGATGTTACATTTCGGGGGGATCCTTATTATCCTCGAGTGGAGTCGTATCGGCCGTGCGGGATGATTCGGCTAGTTTTTTTTTCTTCATTGTTGTCATCGGTCGTGAGAGGAGGTGTGGCGGTTTATTATTGTTTTTTTCGGTCGGAGGTGACAAGCGGCGCAGGGAATGTCGAAAATGAGGAACTGTAAAAAAAATCGATTATAAGACACACGGAAAAAATGCATTGTCACAAATTACTATATTTTTGTGGACAAAAACTGTTACAAATTCGCTTCTCGCTACAGGGATCTGGGAAACGGTATAAGAGCTACGAAGTAGCTTAAATGGTGGCAACGTTGCGTAATCAGGACACCAACATTATGCCTCTAAAAAATCAAGGCTAACATGATTAGTTTTCAAAATATTTGAAAAAAACCGAAATTTTGGAAATCCGTTTTTATTTAATTTCACCCTTCACTATACAGGGTGTTCCTAAATAAGTGTCGCAACGGAAAACTGTAAATTCCTTTTGAAAAAAGAAACATTCTTTTCCTCTTCCATCCATTTTTCTCTCCGGGCATTCGTTTTCGAGATATACAGTGTCAAAACTTTTCTAATCTTAGGAACCCTTTGAACTACAGGACTGAGCTTTTGTACACACATTACCACTATTAATAACTAAGTACTTGTTGCGAATGCTGTTAAATTCGTTAAAATTTTTTAATTATTACTACCCACCTTTTAAATTACAAAAGATTTTCGAAACGTTAGCAAAATGTTTGTTTTTGTTCATAAAAAGTCATTTTTCTTGAAAACGGTTGACATTAGAGCAATGAACCAAGAGAACTCTCTTTGTGTAAAATTCATTGGTGCTTCAGAATTTGCTGTCAAATGTTAATTTTTCCAGTGGCGTAAAAGTTAGGGGGAAAAACCTTTACGATATCTTAAAATCTCCACCACTGGCACATTCAATGAATTCGAGAAGGGTACCAAAAAGTAGCTATTACTAGTGGTAATGCGTGTATAAAAACTCAGTCCTGTAGTTCAAACAGTTCCTAAGATATTGGCAAAAAATTTAAAAAAATTAAAGTTTTGACATCGTGTATCTCGAAAACGAAAGCCCGGAGAGACAAATAGATGGAAGAGGAAAAGAATGTTTCTTTTTTGAAGAGGAATTTACAGTTTTCCGTTGCAACACTTATTTAGGAACACCCTGTATACACTGAAGATGAATTTTTCCAGACAAAACGTCTGAATCTGGTTCGGGCAGTACAGTATTGGGGGTCATGAAGGCTCGCAAAAAATGTAATAAAATTTCCAGGGTCGTATTTAAAAAAATGATGTTGTTAATGGTCCTGGAGAGACGAAACGTTACATATAAAAATTGATTATGACATTCGATAGAGGGCAAAAAGTGGACATGAGAAAGTGTTTTTCTTTTTTCAATATCACCTCAAACAAGGCTGAAACGAAACAAAAACGGATTTCCAAAATTTCGTTTTTTTTTCAAATATTTCGAAACCTAATCATGTTAGCCTTGATTTCTTAGAGGCATAATGTTGGTCCCCCATTTAAACTACTTCGTAATAATATATAAAGCTGTAATAATATAAAAGTTTTCCTAAAAAATTATTAAATTTCAATATTTTATTCTTATTTATTTGACACACTGATTTTTATGAATTTCACAAATATATTTTTTGTTCTGTGATAATTACAAAATAATACTAGTTGCATAGAGGTATATTTGAATAAAATTTGAATATAATAGGGAAAAAATTGTTTACACAATATTCAAATGTTTGAAAATTCTTTGGAAGTAAGCGCAATATTAAATATTTCATATTACAATTAATTTAGGATTTCGTAACTATTTTAGTTTAATTGGGTATTTCTGTTACATTAACAGAAAAATTTTTAAATAAATAACTTCTTGATTCAAAGGAATAAGTCTTAGGGGTTGATTTTATAAATCAAATTTTGTCTAATCTGAAACATTTCACATTAAGAAAATAAATAATTTTACACAATAGTTAGTACAATACATAACACCGTTAACATTTCAAAAAAAAATTCGTTTAGTCAGATGTGAGTTTTTTAAAATTTTTGTCAGGCAATTTTTTTATTTGAAATATTTATTAAAAACGTTTCCATAAGTTCCATAACAATGTAATTTGTTTTCTATGTTACTTATTTGTGCAGTGGTGACATATATAGATACAGGGTGTAAGTGAGGAATCGTTTGTTCTTTTGTAGTTAAATGAATTTTGAATAAAAAATAAATTGAAAAATCTAGGCCTACTGTCCAAAGTAATTTATTCGTGGTATAATTTTACATTTTCCTTATTTTTTTTGGTACTTTGCCACCTGTGAAAAACTTAAAAATTAGTGAAATAAACACTTGTACCAAAAGACTGTTTAAATTTGTTTGGTCCTTATACAGGGTTTCAGAAAGACCTCCCGTAAATACAGGGGGTGATAGTACGACAAAAAATAAGAATTTTTTTAATAGAATTTTTACGAAAATTTCCAAACGGTACAAAATATTTTTATGGAATTTGGTATTCTAGTATTTTTAAGAACGCCAAATACGCTGGTCAAATTATTTTTTGAATATTCCATAGAGGGCGCTAGTTATGCTACATTCCAATTACATTTTAAGTTCTAATTTTTTTAAGGTTAGGTTTTTTACCTCCAATTTCTAATGTACAGTTTTGTTTTCTAAAAATAGTGTACTCTTGTTAGAACGTCCTAATGTGGACGGTTTTCGAGAAAAAAGGCTTTTAATTGAACTCTTACAATATTACGGTGTATAAAATAAGTGACTTTTCTCAAAGTAGGCCTATGTCAAAACTAATTGATGGATGTCTCATAAACAACACATATATGCTTAGTAATGTACTTTTACAATTTTTGACATAAAAACCAGGACTGAAGGTCTTGAGGATGTCGTAATAAAATGGACGAAACGTCGGCAATGTGTTATATTTCCTGATCTGAAAAACAGAAAAAATTATAATTAATAATTAATATTAATAATAATTATAATATTAATATTTTGGAGGGGAAAAATAAAAAGTAATACCTACCATTAAAAATAATAAAGACTACGATTAAATTTCTAGTTATGAAAACGAAAACAAAATGATTTTTGAAGCATTCAAAGTTTATTGAAGTGTGTGACATAGAGATGTGTATTTTTTAGTTGTCTGCTTTTTCCAGAGTGAGATTTCCGTTAGACAAAACTAGTTTTATAAAAATAATCCTTGGCTCCTTTATCTTTATCTTTTATTTCAGCAATATTTTTAAAATTTTTTTCATAGGTGTCAAAACACCCAAATAAATAGAGAAAAAATATGTAAGGCTTTCGAAATTATGACCGCAAGACGGTCATAAGCGACAACCGGCCGCTTTTCTAGCACGACGTACCTTGGTAGCCTACTATTTTATGATAATTAAGCAAGATTAACACATGTGTGGAGACTGTAGGGTCAAGGAATGCTGTCCGCTTTAATGATGGGTCTCTTTCTGGGCTTAAGGTCTTCTCGAACAATGCGATGGAAACCGGCGGGTGTACAGGATGTTCATTCACCGCGCCGTTAATTTATAGGGGAGTTTTCGCCAAGGTCTTTGCAAGCATTGTTCATAAAATTGTTGCAGGGTGGATGTACAGACGTAGGAATTATTTAGATTAAAGAAGAATTAAATACAGAAAAAAGTGATTATTTTGAATCGAGGATACATTTATTTGGTATTGGTCTAAGCACGTCATAACTCATAATCTTGAGACAAGCACTTCATTTTTCAATATACGCAAATAAATCATGTATTCATTTATTTATATGCGGATATACAAGGTGATCCATTAACGGTATCGAGCAGCTGTATATAGAATACTAGAAGTGCTACGATTTTGGTCTAAAAAATCTATTAACAAATACGACCAAAAGAAATTGATTTAAAATATTTTCAAGTTTGTAACTTCACTGCTAGAGGGCGCAACTGCTATAGTGTTACAGAAAATTCTCGGTTTTTCGAAATTTCGCGTATATAACCTGAGTTGCAAATACATTTTTTAGATGCACTGTTAAACTCTTCACAAGTTTTGTTTGGACTTTTTTTTTGTTATTACCATAGCAACGTCAGTATGAAGGACGCTATCTTGAAATTTCTAAATTAATCTTAATCGATTTCAATAAACGAGGGGTCATTTTAAAGAATTATTAATAAAAATTATGTTTATGATATAGGAATAAAAATATTATTTTCCTGCACAAGGTAGACGACGCTAATGAGAAAAGGTTTGGAATTGTCTCAGTTTACTAAAAAAATTAAAATGCAACTATATAGGTTTTTTTTCATGGCTTGATGGACCATTCATTATGGAAAACAAATACACAAAACAAACCGGAGGTCCATATCTTTTTTCGTTTTCAAGTTATTGCTAAAATAGTGAAGTTGTGCTAATCATCCTCCTTTATTTACTTCTCTAAATAACATCGACATAACCCAAGCCAAAATTAAATTGTAAAACTATACCAATCTTGTCTTCAAAAACAATTATTTCTTTATTTTGAAATTTTTTGATAACTGCAATATTTAATTTTTTTATTAATTCCAAATATCTGAGTAGTTATAAAGATTATTGTTTATATAACGAGGCAGGCTATGCCCGATGAAAATAGACAACTGAAAACTTATGCCAAACGAAATGTGACAGCTCTTGCTACGTGCAAAATTAGTGTTATTTGTGTTGGAAAAATACTTGTGAACAAGGAAAATGCCTTTTACGAATGTGAAAACGTATGATATGTTGGCAGTTTATTTTCAATATTTGAAAAATGCCATTATAGCTTCAAAAGAATACGCTTTGCGATACCCTCGTAGAATACGCTACTCCAGAGAAGTATTTCAGCGTTTATCCAGACGCCACTATATTCTGTAAGAA